CATGGTGACTCAAAACTACTCTGAAGAAATTATGTAAAATAAGAAAAGAAAAACAATGATAAAAAATAACAAAATTTGAAGAAATAATTATTTCATTTTATTTTTTACAAACTGTCACCAGTCAGTGTCCCTGATCACCGCCACACCCAAGTCCTATGATGACGCCAGGGGCGGACTGACCATTTGAAAACTCAGGCACTGCCCGAGGGCCCGGGGTCAGTAGGGGCCCCCATGACATGCCCCTGGTACCTTTTTCATAGGCTTTTTTTTTAGTTTGGGCAAGGACACAGGGGCCCCATGATCCAATATTGCCCGGGGGCCCCATGAGTTGTCAGTCCACCCCTGGGTGACGCTGTACTGAACTGGTGACTGGATGTAAAAAGACAATTGTGAAAAAAAAATCAAAATGGTTTAATTACGTTTTCCCAAAAAAATTGTGACAAAAATTACAACTTCAAAAAACTCGCCTCTAACTAAATACCTCAGACTGTCTACTTTCCAAAAAGTCTTTTGGGGGGGCGGGGTATCTGTACTGTCCTGAGACTTTCGGGCCCCAAGAAATGAGATCGGCCGTCAGTACATCCGGAATGATCAATTTTCTAATATACAGTATATATCCCATAGCTTGCAGACTCTACAACTGTCACACGCAGGGGTGGACTGACAACTCATGGGGCCCCCGTGCAATAGGGGATCTTGGGGCCCCTGTGTCCTTGCCCAAACTCAAAAAAAAGCCTATGAATGGTACCAGGGGCATCTCAGGGGGCCCCCTACTGACCCCGGGCCCTCGGGCACTGCCCGAGTTTCCAAATGGTCAGTCCGCCCCTGGTCACACGGACTAAATAACAAACACTGATTTTCTTTTTTACACCAAAGACGTGGAGCAGAATACATTTTGGCCTAAATTTATGAAGAAAGACTATTTGTTTGAAAAATGTTGCAGAAAAGACACAGTAGTGATCAAATACCACCAAAAGAAAGCTGTTTTTCAAAAAAAATTATATACATTTCATTTGGGTACAATATTGCATGACTGTACAATTGCAGGTTAACCCCTTCCAGTCCGGACACTTTCTCCCCCTTCCAGTCCAGACACTTTCCCCCCCTTCCAGTCCGGACACTTTCCCTCCCCTTCCAGTCCGGACACTTCCCCCCCCTTCCAGTCCGGACACTTTCACCCCCTTCCAGTCCGGACACTTTCCCCCCCTTCCAGTTCGGACACTTTCCCTCCCCTTCCAGTCCGGACACTTTCCCTCCCTTCCAGTCCGGACACTTCCCCCCCTTCCAGTCCGGACACTTCCCCCCCCCTTCCAGTCCGGACACTTTCACCCCCTTCCAGTCCGGACACTTTCACCCCCTTCCAGTCCGGACACTTTCACCCCCTTCCAGTCCGGAACCCCCAAACACCCACCCACCCCCCCAACCACCCCACACCCCCCCCAAACCAACCAACAACCCCCCACCACCCCCCCCCTCAACTTTCTCCCCCTTCCAGTCCAGACACTTTCCCCCCCTTCCAGTCCGGACACTTTCCCTCCCCTTCCAGTCCGACACTTCCCCCCCCCCTTCCAGTCCGGACACTTTCACTTTCACCCCCTTCCAGTCCGGGACACTTTCCCCCCCTTCCAGTCCGGACACTTTCCCTCCCCTTCCAGTCCGGACACTTTCCCTCCCTTCCAGTCCGGACACTTCCCCCCCTTTCCAGTCCGGGACACTTCCCCCCCTTCCAGTCCGGACACTTTTCCCCCCTTCCAGTCCGGACACTTTCACCCCCTTCCAGTCCGGACACTTTCTCCCCCTTTCAGTCCGGACACTTTCCCCCCTTCCAGTCCGGACACTTTCCCCCCCTTCCAGTCCGGACACTTTCACCCCCCTTCCAGTCCGGACACTTTCACCCCTTCCAGTCCGGACACTTTCTCCCCCCTTCCAGTCCAGACACTTTCCCCCCCTTCCAGTCCGGACACTTTCCCCCCCTTCCAATCAGTCCGGACACTTTCACCCCCTTCCAGTCCGGACACTTTCTCCCCCTTCCAGTCCGGACACTTTCACCCCCTTCCAGTCCAGACACTTTCCCCCCCCTTCCAGTCCGGACACTTTCCCCCCTTCCAGTCCGGACACTTTCACCCCCTTCCAGTCCGGACACTTTCACCCCCTTCCAGTCCGGACACTTTCACCCCCTTCCAGTCCGGACACTTTCCCCCCCTTCCAGTCCGGACACTTTCACCCCCCTTCCAGTCTGGACACTTTCCCCCCCTTCCAGTCCAGACACTTTCCCCCCCTTCCAGTCCGGGACACTTTCCCCCCCTTCCAGTCCGGACACTTTCCCCCCCTTCCAGTCCGGACACTTCCCCCCCTTCCAGTCCGGACACTTTCCCCCCCTTCCAGTCCGGACCCTTTCCCCCCCTTCCTGTCCGACACTCCCCCCCCCCTTCCAGTCCGGACACTTTCACCTCCTTCCAGTCCGGACACTTTCCCCCCTTCCAGTCCGGACACTTTCCCCCCCTTCCAGTCCAGGCCAATTTTCAGCTTTCAGCGCTATCACACTTTGAATGACAATTGCGCGGTCATGCAACACTGTACCCATATGAATTTTTTAGCATTTTTTGAGACAGATAAAGCTTTATTTTGGTGGTATTTATTCACCGCTGGGATTTATATTTTTTATTTGCTATATAAATGAAAATGTCTAAACATTTTGAAAAAGTGTTTTTTCTTATAAAATTTTGCAGATAAATAATCTTTCTTCATAAATCTTGGCAAAAATGTATTCAGCTATCTGTTTATTAAAAAAAAATAAGCCAAATTAGTTTATAACCAAAAATTATAATTTTTCCAATTTTTGTTTTTACATTTTTATTCTATTTTTTTATATTATTTTTTTGTTTTTTACATACTGTCACCCTAGCAGTACAGTGTCACCATGGTGATACTGTACTACTTGTGGGGGGGTGATTTTGTTTTTTACACTTATTGCTTTTTACACCCCATAAAGGCTGTAAAAGCAAGCATTTCTCCTTCTCTCTGGCTGCATTCTTGCAGCCATGAGAAATACTGTGTGAGCTGCGATTGGTCACAGCTTGTCACATGGTACAAGTCTTTTGTGAATGGCCCTGTACCATGTGACCTCTGTGATCATTCACAGATTTCACACGTAGTAAGCAATGATGTCAAGAAGTGACATCTTGCTTACTACTATTCATGTGATCACTGATTGGCTAATCAGTGATCACATGATCAGGATCTCACACAGAGGTCCCGTACAACGATCGGTGTTCCATTGTGTCCGGAGGAGAGACACTGTGTGAGCTGCGATTGGTCACAGCTTGTCACATGGTACAAGTCTTTTGTGAATGGCCCTGTACCATGTGACCTCTGTGATCATTCACAGATTTTACACATAGTAAGCAATGATGTCAGATGTGACATCTTGCTTACTACTCTGCATGTGATTACTGATTGGCCAATCAGTGATCGCATGATCGGGACCTCACACAGAGGTCCCGTACAGTGATCGGTGTTCCGCTGTGTCCCGGGTCGCGGTGCCGTGCGCTCCTAGGGAGCGCGCACAGGCTGTGAATGTGGGTGCCGTTTATGAACGGCAACCCGCTCCTGCACAGCTCCCATCCGGCCGTTTACACTCATGGGCCGGAAGTGGTTAAAGTAGCGCAGTGCCGAACAGCAGAACAATGCCCTGGTCATGCAGGAGGTAAAACTTTCCGGAGGTCAAGTGGTTATTGTTGTCTATTTTATATCTCCTTGGAGTTCAGATTTAACCCCTTCCCGTCCAGCCGCTGTATATAAACGGCCGGACTGTAGCAGTGCAGGGGCGGGTTGCCGTTCATAAACGGCGCCCGCCATATTGGATTGTGCGCGCTCCCTGGTTAAGTTGTAGACTCTGAATTTTGCAAATAAATAATCTTTCTTCATAAATCTTGGCCACAATGTATTCAGCTATCTTTTTAGTAGAAAAAAAAAATAACCCAAAAATTAGTTTATTAGCTAGATTGACAGTAGGTTAAAAAAATTAAAAAAAACAAATAATATAAAAAATAGAATAAAAATGTAAAAAAAAAAAAATTTTAAAAATTCTAATTTTTTTTTTATAAATTAATTTTGGGTTATTTTCTACTAAATAGATAATAATCTATTTTTTCTACTAAAAAGATAGCTGAATGTAAGATGTAAGATGAGCTACATGTGGAGTTCACCACGATGGTATCATTAGTGACAAATAATTTCTTGTACATCAAAAAGTAGGCATGTATATCAAAAAGAACAAAACCACAGTTACGAAAGGCTTTTTTTTTTTTTTTTTTTTTTTCAGCAGAGCAGTTAAGGTTAGTTTGGTCAACGTGTAAAAAAGTAGTGCACGGCTACACCTGTTACCCTGAAATGGTTAATGTAACATTTTCAAAAGCAAAAAATATATATTTATTAGCCTGAAAAATAAAACTGCACTGAGCTGAGCAAAATAATGAAACAAAGAAAAAACAGTATATAAAGCACAAACACGTTCCTCTGAAACTCTTCTGTAGAGTTCGGCATTTTCGGGGCCGTCCATTAGACGCGGCGTATTTTCATATTGCTGTTCCGCAGAGCTGCCACTCGCACAATGTGCTCACCTGGAAAATGGAGAATAATATTTATGTATTGTAACGTTTAATGCTACATTGGCACTTATCAGCTCGCCCCGAGAGGCGGCTCTGCGGGAGGAATTGATTGGTAAGAGCTTCGCTGGCACTCGTCTTTGCTGATAGTTCACAAGTGTTAATTGAAATGTATAGCCCTGGTCAATACCAGCTGTGCCAGAGGCGGCCAATGCGACGTCGCCAGGTGCTGCCACCTATACAGTGGCGCAGCGTGACCGATCTCACTTTACATCCCTTGTATTTGGTAGGCTAGCTGTTCTAAGTACACAAAATTGGGAGATTTGCCCCTGAAAATGTCCCTGGAATCCCAGAATCACAGAAAAAAAAATCGACTAAGTCCTTCTTCCGATCTCCCCTTCAGTCTTGCACAGGTGTACCGGCTCTTCCCCTTCAGTCTTGCACAGGTGTACCTGCTCCTCCCCTTCAGTCTTGCACAGGTGTACCGGCTCCTCCCCTTCAGTCTTGCACAGGTGTACCGACTCCTCCCCTCCAGTCTTGCACAGGTGTACCGACTCCTCCCCTCCAGTCTTGCACAGGTGTATCCAGTCTTGCACAGGTGTACCTCCCCCCTCCAGTCTTGCACAGGTGTACCGACTCCTCCCCTCCAGTCTTGCACAGGTGTACCGACTCCTCCCCTCCAGTCTTGCACAGGTGTACCGACTCCTCCCCTCCAGTCTTGTCTTGTCTTGCACAGGTGTACCGGCTCCTCCCCTTCAGTCTTGCACAGGTGTACCGACTCCTCCCCTCCAGTCTTGCACAGGTGTACCGACTCCTCCCCTCCAGTCTTGCACAGGTGTACCGACTCCTCCCCTCCAGTCTTGCACAGGTGTACCGACTCCTTCCCTCCAGTCTTGCACAGGTGTACCGGCTCCTCCCTTCAGTCTTGCACAGGTGTACTGGCTCCTCCCCTTCAGTCTTGCATAGGTGTACCGGCTCCTCCCCTTCAGTCTTGCACAGGTTTACTGGCTCCTCCCCTTCAGTCTTGCACAGGTGTACCAGCTCCTCCCCTTCAGTCTTGCACAGGTGTATTGGCTCCTCTCCTTGACTGGAAAGACTTCCTCTGATTTCACCGCACACTGTGGGCTTCTCACAATGTGCATTAGAAGCTGTTGCAAGTCCGCCTTATGTCCTGCCATCACACGTGGGTGTTCCCCATACAAATGCAGCCCGCCTAGGAACGCCCACTCCTCAAGACTGACACCCACCCATCAAGGCATTTTGATATTTGCATAACTCCTCCCAAGAGCCAGCCCACTGCCTGCATCAGAATGGAGGGCTCTTGGGAGGTGTTATGAGGTGCTGTCTTGTTTTTAGGAAACTGCGTACAGCCCCTCCCACCGGCTATCATCTGCACTGCATTGCACAGAGAAGCACAGAGACCCAGTGATGACATCACTGGATCCATAAGAAGGTCGTGTCATAAAACTGTTTAAACATTTCATTAGTATTTGAAATATTGAGAAGCCAATGAAGACAAAATGTAAGCAAATTGAATTTCCTTTTTATTTATTTATTTATTTATTATTATTATTTTTGATTGATTATGATTATGAAGAAAAACTTTAAGCAAATTACATTTCCTTATTTATTATTATTATTATTATTATTATTATTATTATTATTATTATTATTATTATTATTATTAATAATAATAATAATAATAATAATAATAATAATAATAATAATGTATTATCTATTTATTTGTTGATTTTTATTTATTATCTATTTATTTTACTATTTTTTTTTTTTTGTTTTTTGTTAATGGTAACTAAAGTCCCACGTTTGTCTGATCTTAGCTAACCAGGGGTGGGGGGGGAGGGGGGTTTGCATTACTATGCATGCCATCCTGCAGGCGGGGCAATGCTACCAGGCAACCTGGGCACTGGGAATGAAAGCAAAAAGAACAGTTTTCACGCCTCTGAAATTTTTTTTTGTCGAGGATTGTGAGATTTTGTTGAATTTTTGCTATTTTGGCTAACTATATTGAAGTCACAGGGGACGGCTAATGAGCTTTAATTGCTTATGGTTATGCTCCTTTTATTTATCCTGGACCTGTTTTGTGCAGAAAATGTCCCATCTTTAGTGAGAAAAATAAATAAAAGTGGCAGTACACAAAAAAAAAAAACAATTAAAAAAACACAAAAAATGCCAAACGCAATGAAAAACGCGATGAAATGATTGGCTTGTATGAACACATAAATGTACCATAGAGTAAAGGTGGCAATACACGATTAGAAAATCGGCCGATCGGTCATCCCGACGACCGAGAGGCGTTCATTCGTTGGTCGAAATCGTGGCCCACATTAACCAATCTAAAAAAAAATCGTTCGTCGGGCAATACGTAGTGTGACGTCTTCCGTACAAGCGGAAGTGATGCGGTGTGGCGAGTGACCTTGTAGCCACGCCCTTCCAGCCAGGCCGAGCGGTCCACGCCCTTCTGGCCAGCATGAGTGGTCCACGCCCTTCCGGCCAGAACGATCGATATACACAACAATTACCAGAAATGAGTATAATATCATTTATTCCATGACCTATATACATAAATAATGATACATAAAATATAATATACAGAATTCTGGTTTCATCATCTCATTCAGCCGATCGACTTTTAACATTTGTTTTTTTTATTCGTGTTGATGAAGATTCCTCGGACACAAACATCCGGGTCATCTTCTGTTTCCACTCATGCGTGATAGCGCTTGATAGATTTTTTCTGTACGATCGTCATACCGCCGCATAGAAAATCGCTCGTTCGTATGCGAAACGACAACATTTTTCGGATTTTTTCGTTCATAATATCGTTATCGGTTAACACATCCTGCTCATCAACAAAGAGAAAATCGTTCTGTAACGGAACCGGACCCCAGACCACACTTGGGTATATTCCGTTATACCGCAGCTTCCTTGTCCGAACACAAATCCACGGACCACACCCTTGAAATCCCTCAGGAAATAGACAGCACCCGACTCTTCTTAAAACAGGAAGTCAAACTTTATTTTACACACACAACAAGTTATATGCACAGGGCGGGGAAACACAACCAGGAACAGGAAACACATCATCAGCCCGCCCCATCAGTGGGGAGGGCTACAGGAAACACATCATCACCCCTCCCCATCCAACCAATACATAGAACAATGGGGCAGCACATGGCAAAAGGACAATAGACAGCCATGTGGCCGAGAACAAAGGACAACACACCAATACACAATAGACATTCACGTACACACCCTGTACCCTAACAGGCACGGGTCACTTAAACATAAGAATTTGGGAAGATGATGCAGAGGTCCCCCCACCCCCAAAAGTCACTCCCGTCACACGTTCCATCAGTGGTTCACAAAATTTTTTGTACGATTTTCTTATCGTGTGTACGGGACATAAGTCTAATACAAAGATTTTGACTTAATGATCAAAAAAAGACACAGACATGCAGGGATAGACGTTTAGTGACCGTTCATACCGGTTGCAATTTCAGGTGCGATTTGCAAATTGAAATCGCATGTAATGAATGTGAATGTCAGCGTCTTAACACGTGCGATTTGCTGCGGCGCGATTTCTAAAGTAGTTCTTGCGTGACTTTTTCTACAGTTTTGTTGTGATTTCACATGCATAGAGTATATTGTGAATTTACGCTGCAAATCGCTAGAAATCGTTGAAAAGTTGCAATAAAGTCTTCAGAAATCGCACTGAAATTGCTCATTTTAAATTGCAGCGGTGTGACCTGTGACTTAACCTCTTTAGGTTTAGGGGCCTAGATAAGGGGGGGGGTTGGGGGTCCAACCCCCCCCCCCCCGAGCCTCCTACCTAAATGGCCAGTCAAGTAGCAATAAAGTCTTCAGAAATCACGCTGAAATTGCTCACAAATCGCACCATTTTAAATCGCAGCAGTGTGACCGGTGACTTAACCTCCATGTATTGGAAGGCTTTTTTTACTGTACGAAAAATGTGGAAAAGTCTTCCCAAGGGGCAAGGCATAGCCCAACTCTTTAGGTTCAGGGGCGTAGATAAGGGAGGGGAGTTAGGGGGGTCCAAATTTCCCCCCAGAGCCTCCTACCTAAATGCCCAGTCAGTGTCTCTGCTGCCACACTGCTCAGACTTAGCAACAGTGCAGCAGAAGCAGTGAGAGCTGTAGTGATCTATCAGCTGAAGGGCTGTTGGTTAGGTTATGTTACAAAAAGGGCGGAATGTGTTTTTGAACGCAGAGAATATTATCGGATGATCAGGTTTATACATAATAACTCTGCAGATTGTTGTTGCAGAGGGATCAGGGGTTCAGGAAGGGGTGTAAGGGGGTGGAGCTTATTTAAAAATATTTCTTCACCTGGGCCCATTGGCACTTGTGCATTAGTGTCATGGGTTCTATATTATGGGGGAGGCTTTTTTTTCTCTCTCTCTCTCTTGTGCGATGCACAAAAAACATCAAAGTGAACCTAAAAGTGAACTTAGGGTATGTCACATGGTCCCATCCTGAAGAGGAAGGACCCATCCCTGACCCTCCTGGGCAAGGGCGGACCGCACTTGGGTCCACCCAACCAATATAACAGGTGGACCCCTCTCCTCCTCCTGGTCAACCAAAGCCCACCAACGAGTACTAGGTGAAGGGCTCTCCTGAAGAGAGGCCCCCTGAAAGTAAGGGAGGAAGGAACCTCCCTCTAGACATCAGGATAGGCCTGAAGACCAACACTCTACTATCTACCAACACTCTACTATAAGTGAAAAAAAAGGGCATAAAAGTGCAAAGTGAAATACAAGTGGAGAGAAGCCAAAGATTTACTGTGTTGTTGGACTTCTCAAGCAGTGATGATGCAATCTGGTGCAGGCTTCCAATTGGTCTCCCTTTGGAAGCAGCACCAGGACTTCTCCCATATTGGGAAGGTAAGACAGGGATATTCCTCATCTTGATAAATGTCGGGTCACTGTTCTACCTTCTGCAAGGGCATAGCTCTCTCTCCACTCATTGGGGGAATTTACTAAACCTGGAGGGTGCAAAATCTGGTGCAGCTTGGCATAGAAACCAATCAGCTTCTAACCTTGGCTTGTTTAATTAAGCTGTGGCAATAAATCCTGGAAGCTGATTGGTTTCTATGTAGAGTTGCACCAGATTTTGAACCCTCTAGTTTTAGTAAATAATCCCCATTGAGTACTTATGTAACCCATTTAATTTATGGACTGTCATCCTATATGACTGAATGTTCTACTACTGTCCTTCAGTAAAGTTGTTACCATTTCAAAAAGACACTGTTGTGCACTCTTCTCATTCTGTGCCAATTGGGAATACTCTTGGACATAGGCTTGTGTTTGGGGGAAAAGTGAGGCAATAGGAGGCAGATAGAGGTCCGGGTTCCAGTTAGGCAAGACTGGGCCTGTCTTAGGGTGTCCAAAAGGGATGAGATGCCAGTGTTCCACCTTGCCAGGCATGGGAACCCTGGGCAGCCCATGGTATAGAACCATGGGGTGCCACCAGGAATCCACTGAGGGAAAAATATCCAATCAGAAGTACAGGCAGCATGGGAAGCCAAAAAAAATGGTTTCTCAAGCATTGCTTGTGCTGATCACTAAAAGGAATGCTAGTCCTCAACCCCGCCAATCAAAGAAGGTTTCTTACCCTACCGAATAGTCCTTAGTGTCTAGGGAGGAGAGTACAGGAAGGTCTTAGGATCAAGCATGCCTCCAAAACTGACACCCTTAGGGGTAACTCTTATCCTGATGTAGAATCCTACTCATTCCCCAAGGGTGGACAATAAATGTTGGGGTCCTAAATTTCTTTCCTCCTTTCCTTCCCTCCTTTTGCTCAACCTTCCTGCTTCCCTTTCTTCCTGTCTCCTTTCCTTTCTCCCTTCCTTCCACTCTCCATTCTTGCTTCACTTCCTTCCTCCTTCCCTTCCCTTCTTCCGCTCTTCCTTCCTGCTTTCCTTCTTTCCTCTCTTCCTTCCTTCCACTCTTACTTCCTGCTTCCCTTCCTTCCTTCTTTCCTTCTGCTCTCTCCTTCCTGCTTCCCTTCCTTCCTCTCTC